CTAGCCGCCTGAATAACATTTTCGTATTTTTTGAAGAAAACGTGTAAAATATGACATATTTTCTCACAAAAAATATTGAGTCAAGCAATCATAAAACTGAGTCTGAAAATTATTTAGTACAAAATGTTAGCTTTCTGACGCCATAACACTATTGTATTTATACACTCGAAAAAAAGATTACTTAAGCCAGCTATTGGAAGATTTTGAATAAAGAGAGAAATGTTTTAGTATTTTGCAATTAACTTGTGCGATATCAGTTCATATCTTCTCACTACCAGAGCAGTCGATTCACAATTTCACCAATAAAGGATTCTTGGCAGTGTCCGAATTTATTGTCCCCTTACTTATTGAGTTAATTTTCAAAATAATTAAACTTTGTATTGGATTGGGTAAGGGATTCCCAAAAAACAACCGAAACATGGATAAATGTAAATAAAATACTTTCAAATAATTTTTTCTTTTTCGTTTAATTTATTAATTTGCAAATATGTTTTCGTACACAATTGTTAATTAACAAAAATAACAACTCGTGTATAACATCGAACTCGCCTAAGCTTAAACTATTTTATTTATTTCTTAACTTTTACTAACACCGCTAACCAGAAAATTGGTTTTTTAATTACTTAAAGACAACTTTATAACAATAATATAATAATAAACATTGTAAAAGCATGAAATTTTTCAAATAAAAATATAATTTATGTGCCAGACATATGCACATATATCCTTTATTTATATATATCATTTAAATTTACATATACATATATGCGCGGTTTAAATTGTTTTTTTTTACATATATATATTTATTATATATAATATTATCAATTATAATTGTATCGCTCAAAAATAGAATTTCTCGATCTTACACCAAAAAATATGTATATAAACAACATTGACCAGTGATAAGCTTTACGGAAACGCAAAGATCCGTTACTTCTAATAGTTATGCTGTATGTGTAGAAGATTTCTCTCTTAACGGTACGTAATACATAAATGTATAAATATACATTTGTGAAATATATATAATATTTACTTGTATAAAACCGGTTTTATATCAATAGAACACATACACACACATACTATGTGAGGCTCATCGTATAAGCATAGCAACAATTTAAGTACACTTGTTTAATTAAATTTACTTTCGTACACACACATACCTATATATTTTAATAAATCTGAGTATCTGAAAAATGTATTTTCATATGTGTGTGTTTGCATACACTTGTTTATTTAATTAAATTTATTTACAAATAATACTTACTAACTACACTATGTACATATAGTCAGCGTATTGATTACATATACATGCATAAGTAAACTTGTATGTACATATATACTTGTACGAGTATATATGTATGTACATATATTAATATCTATTTATTGAGAAAACATTTCATTGCTTTACGAGAAATGTGGAATGCACATTTATAGGTTAGACAATAAAAAAAAGTACCACTATGTTAATTAACAGTATCGAGTTAAAATATTTCAACAGATGACTACCATTTTCATCACAAGTATTTCCTATAAGTACGCTAACATTTCATCATAAAGTAATACATCTTTTAAATTTTTTTTTATATAAAAATCGTGTGTAAATAACTCGTAGTTCGTGTAAATCTCACGCCAAATATTTACAAGTATAATGAGTCTACACTTTTCGTAGATAATATAATATTTGAAATTTACTCAAAACCCTTAATTAAGGGTTTTCAACTTCATTTTCAAAATGGTATTTTGTTGGAAAAGTTATTTTTTGAAGAATTTCTTAATTTCTCATGATATTTTGATGAAAGAAAAATATATACTTTTTTAAAAAAATTATCGAAATGGTATTTTAAAGAAAAAATTTTTATAATTTCTTCAAAATGGTATTTTGGCGAAAAAAATTTTGTTTTTATTTAAATAATTTTTATAAAATCGTATTTTAATTAAAAAAACACTTATAAGAATAATTTTCGCAATTATTTCAAAATGGTATTTTGGCGGAAAAACGCGTTTCTCTTTAAATTTACTATAATTAATTAAAGCTATTTTAATTAAGTCTTTGGTTTTATTTTTCCTTCAGAGATACAGATTCATACGGCATTAAATTTATAGCGAAGTATTTTTTTAGTGAAATTTAAAACGAATTTTAATTGTTTTGTTTAAGTAAAATTTGCAACGATTTTAAAATATTTTTTATCACATTTATGTTATTTTATTATATATTAATTTTTGTTTATTTATTACAAGCAAAATATTCAGTAAAAATATATTAAAAATTGTTTTCAAATTTAAAATATTTTTTAATCAGTGTATCACAATTTACTCTATTTTATTTTAAATCTTAAAATGGTTTTTTCGCATAATTACTCGTATAGTTTTATTTTTTTATAATATAAAAGAGAATGTTTAATTATTACTTGTTTTGACTTAAAAACAATTTTACTTTCGTATAAATTTTTACTATATTCATCAATATTTTTCAATTATCATAATTATTTTTATTTTTTTTATGAAAAAATAATAATTATAATTGTATTGGCTTTTCAAATCATTTTTATAGTAACTTTTTTTATTTATTATATAAAAGCGAAATTGTACTTAGTTTTTATTATAGTAATAATAGAAATTTTAATATAGTTATTTATTACAAACGAAATATACAGAAAAAAATTACAAAAATTACTTCCAAAAAAAATTTTTTTTTTATTTTATTTTATATTATATAAGTAATTATTTTTTTTTTTAAGGAAATAAAAATCAGGTATATTATATATTATTTTTTCAATATTACAAAATATATATTTTTTCCTATTATATGAATTATTTATTTCAGAAATAATTGTATGTTTTTCATTTGTATTTTATTGTTTACACACAAAATATTCAGAAAACAATACTTATATCTTCTTTTATTATCAAATTAATATTTTTTTCCAGTTTATTTAATTTATTTTTAAGATTTTTTTAAAATCGCACATTATTTATTTTGATATTTTTCGTAATATATATTTAAGAGATTTTTATTATTTTCTTTTTTGTTAACTAAAAAATAATTAAAACTTTTTTATTATTGTTCTCTGTATTTTTTGGAGCAATTATTTAATATTTAAAAAAGGATATCGTACATATTTTAAAAATTTTTTCTGTTTAATACTTATTAAAAAAAAAAGAATTACAAAATCTTAAATATAAAAGCTTTAAATAATAGTTTCAAATTGAAAATCATTTTCTTTTTATATTTTTATAACATATTTCATTTATTAAAAAATTACAAACGCCATTACTTTAGTTTGAAATTTTTGTGTTATTTTTACAAATGTTTTTATATTCGCATATTTTTTATAATTTTTTTTAGAAGATATTCTATTTAAAAAAAACTTAATTTCATTTTTAGCTAATTTTTATTATTTTTTAATATTTTAAATATTTATCTTACATTATTTTATTCAAAATATATTTTTTAATGAACTTTTAAAATTGAACACAATTTGTTTCAAGTTTGCTATTATTTTATATTACTTTGTATTCATATACATCAATCACATTGTTTTTAAATAATTTAAAAAACTTGTTTCTATAACAAAAAGTTTTTTCTATCCAAAATCAAAAAGACATTTCACTTTTATTATTAAATGTTTTCTAATGTTGAGCTTTCACATTAACCTTTCTCGGCCAGACTACCTCAAACTCTCGTATATAATATATCCGACAACTTATTGTATTGAGCAACCTCAATTAAATTTCAAATACACATTTGCAAAAATTGATAAATTTTTAATGTTATTGGCCATAATGTTTTATTTTTATTATCATTTCATTACCTAAGCGACTTTGACGTTGTTCACCGAAAAAGGATACCCTTATCTGCATATCTACATGTGTAGTACAATATTAATGAATACCCAAATCAAGTGTCGCCAATGCGAAGACGTGCAACTTAACATGTCTAAAACGCAAAACCGTCGAATGTTATTAAACAGCGAACCAAAATACGGTTGAAAATAAATAATCGATGCAATTTTTTGCATAAAGTTATTTTTAGTCAGACATAAATAGCTTTTGGAAGTGAAGAAAAAAGTAAAAGTTATGCAGAATTTTTAGAAATATGGGCAAAGTGTTAAAGTTATAATTTTTGAAGCTTCACAAAGTTTTGTTAAAAAATGGAAAATTTAAATACTTTCAAAATAGTTTTTCTCTTTTAAGTTTTACAAGGAAAAAATTATTTGATTTCATCGAAAGCTTTTTAAAAGGTATTTTTCTAATAAATTGCTCTTCTTTAAAATATAATTCACATCAATAATATTTAAAGGAAAATTTAAGAAAATTAGACGTAAACTTCAGAAATATTATATATATATAAAAGGAAACGTTCAACTTGGGATATTATCACAGGAGCGTGGCTTTCGTGTAATAAATACTTTTTTCAATTTATTATATTATCTATAATCTAACTTTACTAGCTATTTTAGCTTAGAGCTTTCCTCCGAGCTTCCACTAGTGAAAGTAGCAAAGTGTTCGCTTGAGTGAGCATTATCAGGACATTTTAGCTGCTGTGGGAAATTCATGTAAAATATTAATATTATGATTTTATTTAAGGTTAAAACTTTCGCAGGAGTTTTTTCATATAACGTAATCGCTAGTTTTTGTAACGACTTTTTTAAGCAACGTAATTTCAGATTTTAATGGTATCTGCGGAAAATAACCGTTAATTTTGAAACTCTGCAGCCTGCGTCTGTAGCTTTATCTACAAGGCCGAAACATGAAAATAATTCTTTCTTTTTTTTAAATTGTTTTTCAATTTAATATTTTATTAATTATATATATTTTATATCCTTCTTATACAGTTAGATAAATTTTATAATTTTACAAATTTTTTAATGTTTTCTATTTTCTTTCATCATATACATAAATTATCGTTACTATGAACCAGTAAGCTTTTAATCAAGATTTCACTTTAATCTTATATTTTTCCAATCTGTATACTTTTACTAAAAACAGTACATTATTCATTTCTTTGTAAACATGTATGCTTTTGTTTTTATTTGGTTTAATAAATTCCTAAAGCACAATTTCTAATTATTACTTCTTTGACTGAAAAGCTTTCATCTAAACTTTCATTTAGAGGTTTCACAAATCGTTATTCGTCAAATGTAAAAATATTTCTAGACTTCACTTACAAAATTTACCCGAACTGTTGAAACTTTCATTTTGAGCTTTCACAACACGTGTGTCCAATAGGAAGGAAATTATTCATTGTAGTTCATCATTGTTGATTTGTACAACCAGGTTTTAACTTTAAAACATTCCCCAATACATATTTCCACCAAAATACCATTTCAAGTTGAACGCAAATACAAAAATATAATTTTTAACACTATTCCAAAGCTATACGACCAATTTACTAAACAACTTTCTAACATTTTTCTCTACCCTCGCACGCTCACACCCGCTCCACCATCGTTGTGGGCGCTTTATTGCCCCCGTTACCCGTGCTCATGCGATAATAGCGCCGCAAAATATCCGCTAACTCTGTTGTCAATCTTTCCGCGCGACTTAAACGCTTATTCTTCGCCTCCAACTCCTCCTGCAGCGGCGCCAACGGTGTAGTGACAATCACCGGCAGTGTAGTGGTGGTGGGTGAGGGCAACAACCGATGCACTGTGGGTATTTTGGGCGCAGAACGCAGAGTTTTCACTTTACTGCGTGCGCCAGTTGGTCGTTGTTGTTGTTGCTGCTGCTGCTGGTTGGCATCCTGCTCTTGCAGCTGTTGCTCCTTCGTGAGTAATTGTGCGCTGGCACTGTGTACAGGTGGCGCTGGTAAAATTGCCGGACGCGATGCTCGTATACGTTCGAGTGGTTCCAATTCGGCGACGGTGGCCATTGATGTGGCCGCTGAGGGTACCTCCGATTCGGCCGCTTTCGATACGGACTGTTTCATGTCCGTTAGGATTTTACGCTCCCAACGTTTGCATAGCATATAGGCATACATGCATAGAAAGTAGATGAAGATGAAGGCGAAGGCGGCAATGCCGTAAAAGCCCAATTTCTTACGCGTCCATTTGCCGCGACGCATCCATTTAATGTCCTCCAAATATTTCGCAATTACTGGCACAATGACGAACCAATAGATTAGCACGGTGGCAACTTGTATAGCGCGGCGCAGAAACATTTTGTACAACTCATTTAGGGTGGGTGGAATTTTTTGGCAATTTGAAGTTGTTTGCTTACAAATGTTTACAGATTTTTTAACTGCGATTTTGTATATAATGTTTTAAGTATTATTCTTTTTAGTCAAAATATTTCCAATTTTTTTTTAATCTTTAACTAAAATATTTTTAAAATTTTTTTATATTTTGTTCTCTAAAATCGTTTAAAAATTTGGCTTTTAATTTTATATATGAATTTAATTTTTTTCCAGCAATGACGTCACACAACATGCAATTTATTTTATATTTATTATTTGGTTCACTTCATAGACTGTAATAATATTTTTTGAGTTAAAATATTTACAAAAAAAATTTTTTTGTTATATATTTATTACTGTTTCTTGAATCTTCGACCAATAATTTGTTTTTGATTTTTGTAACGAGGAAATAGGATTCACAATATGAAATTAATTCTTTTTGTGATTTGTGGTTCGATTTTTAATCTCCAATATTGTTTTTTTGACTTAAGATATTTTTAACTAATTGTTTTTTAAATATAATTATTACTATTTTTTGAGTTTGCGGCTTAAGTTTTTTAAACTTTTTGGTATATTGTAATATTTTTTCGACCTTTTCAAATTTTGGGATTTTGTATGTAGAAAATGTAGTTCTGTTGTAACTTTCACTTAAAATTGTCGTTTTCTTTTAGTTTAAAACTGTAATAAGTAATTATCTTCAATTCGTTCTTTCACACACCAGATTTATTTTTTGTAAAATATTTTTTTTCTTTTCTAGTCAATTATTATTATTTTTAATTTTTCAAATATCAATATATAATATTTTTTAGACTTTTTCAATGAAAAAATGTATTTTTTATATAAAATAATATTTTTTAAATAATATTATTTCGATATTTGAAATTTTGTAACTGTGTTGGATTCTACTTTCGTATAGTAGCAAATATTGTTCGAAATTTTCAATATTTTTACTAGAATTTTTGTCGTTCGTATTTTTTTCGCAAATTTTTTATTTTTTTAATTAATTATAATTTATTAATTTTTATTTTTTTAATAAATAAATATAATATTTTTTGATTTTTTTCTTTTTAATTTTTTTTTAAACTTTATTATATTACTAAGCTTACGTTTTTTTTCTAAATCTTTTTTTAAGCTCTAATTTTTTTTTCGAAATTCACTTTTTTAGTTGTTGTTGTTTTCTTATAAAAATGTCGTATACTCACAAAAATCTTTTTTCTAGTAAATTTATTATTTTTTTAAATATTTTTTATTTATCGAAATATTCTTTTTCCAATAAAAATAATTTTTTTTACACTAAAACATTTTTTTTTAATTCCTCAGTTTTTATTTAAAAATCGTAACTTATTTTATTTAGCGTTTTCTTCGTAAATTCGTAAACGCGCTATTCGATCTCAAACCTAGTCACACCGCAGCACCGTCTGTTGCGCTATTGGCCGCGTCAGCTTTCATATTAAACTGACTAGCTGACTCTGATTTGTTTACTGTGATTTGTGCATTCGAGCGTTACGACAACGCGCGTTTGCCACACGCCAAAACGAAAACGAGCGCATGTAGCAGCGTCGAGCGATCGATCGATCGAACAGTTATCTGTCTAAGTGTTGTCAACAAATCAGCTGTTGATCGCAAATCAGGTGCTTTAGGCAAGTGGTTCAAGTCAAAGCAACGCGAGATCGAAATGCCGACGAAGAAGTATACGTATCTTGTGGCATTTCACACTGCTGCGTAAATTACTCACGCTTGCTATAAAAAAAACATAAGCTACCATAGATGCTTCGAGAGCGCTTGGTGAGCTTTGCACTTTTCAGTTTTTTCTATTTTTATTTATTTATTTTTTTTTCTATTTTTCGTATTATTGAATTTCTTTTATTCCATATTGAATAAAAATAAACCTCAGTTTATGCCACATGATGCATACTAAATAATCTGTCGCCGGACGACCCCTATATCCCTTTGTATGCATGCATGTGCGCTTTATTGTTGTCTTTTGTCATGCGGTTTGTCTCTCTACGTTTGTCGCTTTCGCTAGCGTCTGCTTTTGTGTCATGTCTTTTGTTTATTCTCCAAGTTTTTGATTTCAATGTGATGTTAGATGGTTCATCGGCGCCTTGGGTGTTTTCAATGCGCGCATGAAATCGCATAAATATTTAGCGTATGTCTGTATGTATATATGTCAGCATTCAGTTCAATATCGGTGATAGTTGTTTGCGTCTGTTCGTTATTGTTGTTGCAGTGAACGCATTATAAATGCGTACAAAGCGTAAATTTGCAATGCTAGCTTACAGAGCACCATAAAATAAGAAAAACTTAGATAAAGACAAATAACCAAATTGGAATTTATATTGATTCATAAAAAGGATGTGATTCTTAAAGAAATTGTTAATTTTTATGGGAGTCAAAAAATAGGCTTCATTGTACATAAAATATTGATTTTACAGCAACTAGAAAGGGCTGCGATGTAGAAATAACATTCTTGAAAAATTTATTAAAAACAAGCCTAACATAACCTCACTAAAAACTAGAGCTCAAAGTCATTGTTTCATAATAGTCAAGAAATTAAGCTTATTTAAAAAATAGTTTAGATGCTGCATATAGAGGTATTGAAATCTCGGTGAGATCGGTAGGAGATACCAACTGAGTGATTAAGTATTGGAAAGTTTGGTAATCTAAAATGTATTACCTAGTTGAGTTTGAGTTTATCACTATGCTGATCAATGAAGTGATCAGTCGCAGTCAACACCACGATTTAACACTGTATATTAGCGGAAGAGATGGAGGTTAAGATCTTCAAACATTTTTCTTAATATTAATTCTGTCAAAATGCTACTTTTATTGGGTGTTATGTTTAAAATGTTTCTGAAGATTTTTTCAAGACAACGAACCGTGGTCAACAATTTTATTTCTCTCTGACGTTTTCTTTTCGCCTAAACTACACTCGAACTCCACTTAGTCGCGCCATAACTTCTGTTACAAGTTTATAAAATTTAACGCGAATAAGTGATAAATAGCGAACCTGAGATTTTTCGAGCCTCTCTTAATTTCTTTGGGGTATTCGACAGGCCATATTCTCTAATTTTAACCACAAACTGTAGTGTAATTAACTGTCTTACCACGTCTTCTAAAAAATCCTGCTGGTATACTTTAGCTCCAATTTTAACAAGGAAACAAAAACCAATAATCTTTTATTCTCTACTTCATTATATGCGCCTAATTACAAATTTACTCAAAACCTCGGTACGACTGTGGTGGAATATTATCAAGAAAGACCTGGGAATGGCAAATTTATGCCAGGAACAGAGAATACCTCATTAAAGTGGTAGAAGCGCTTGCTATGCTTGCTAACAATTGATCTATTTTAATTATTTGTTCTATTCAGCATTCCACAAGCTTTGTTAAGTTGACTTAATTTATTTTCTAGATTTTCTACAACTCAAATGTTTCTATGAAATATAAAAAAAATATTGATAATTCTAAAACTTTCCTTATTTCCACCTGATTTGGATACGTAAATAAAGTATATTTCAAAAATATATAATGACCAAAAGTAATCTTAAATAGTATAATATTAACACATTTCATATTTCTGATAACGATTTCATTCCAGCTCGGTACTGTGTTAATAGCACTTTTCTCAGCCTTAAGGTACTGGTTTAACCGCTACAACTTTAAGTACATCAGATTAATTAAGGAAGAATCCTAATTTGTGGTATAAGAATTTTTTTCATATATTTTGGAGAAATTATATAATTTCTTAAACCATTTTTTAAACTGATTTTGATATCTTAACGCAGCCTATCACGGCCACGACCTCCACAAGTTCAGTTTTTGACACATTTATTTAAATTTACGAGTTTTTTTGTTAATCATGGCTCTCAAACTTATTATATGAAAAACTTTTTAATTCATCAGGATCCTGCACTCAATTTGGAGATAATCTAAGATAACGATACAATTTCCGTGCATATAGTTTTGATCGAATCACTATAATGTATAGCTACCATACAAACTATTCGATCAAAATTGTGTTCAACCGAAGTTACGATTTTTCCGGTTTCATATAATTCCAACAAATATTTAAATATTTTATTTTATTACCGTATTTACTACTATTTACTTTAACTTAAAGTACCTGTTAAAGGGCACCATGGCCACATGTTTTTGTTTTGACAGCATTACAAGAATTCCAATGGGTTGTTTCAAGATATGAGATAATTTGAGACGCATTTAAATGCGGGGTTTGTATGAGTTACGGTGATTTTTTGCAAGTCACACTATTTAATACATATATGAGTGTGAAATATATTAGTATATTATACTTATTTCCCCACGGTTGAAATACAGTCATCATTAAAGAGACATCTCAATCTCGAAAACTTTGCATTTATTGGTGGCATAGTGATGAAACTAAAAATTAATGGAACAACTTCTCTAAACTGGGTTAAGTTAGTCATGCAAATGGTTGTACTATGTATGTGTGTATATATTAATGTAAATTTTTTATAAATGTATATATATACATATAATATATATGTTTATAGTATGTATGTAAATTTTTATATTATATATAGTTGTTATATGTATCTGCCATAAACTACATACATTGCTGCCTAAAGAGCCACACTCCTAAAACAACAACAATTGCATGCAGATTCATAAATGTTAATACACAGGTGTAAACTCACACACACACAAACTTATGTAACCGCTATAAATGCAGTTATGACTCAGCAGTCAACTCAATTAACAAAGTGCCAACTTATAATTTACACAAAGTGAAAATAATTCGTAAACAAAAAACAAAAAATATTGACAGAGCATTAACACAACAACAACACCAACAAAAAATGCTAATTAAAATAATAGGTGTTTGCATTTAAGATTTTAGCAACAATAAATCATTGAAAAATAATACACAAGCACACACACCCACAAATTACGTGCGGTTTTAAATAAATACAGACATACACACATACATATTTACATATATAAATATACAAAAAATTTATAATTTGAACACGTGTCATTATGCAGTAATCTATAGTAGTAAGTATGTAAGAATTTAATCGCTTAAACGCTTAAACACTTGCAAACCAGTATGGCTAGTTGCTGCCAGTCAAGCTGTCTGTCAAACGCGCAATAAGTAAATAAAACGATTTCTGCGCATGCCTGTGTGTGTTTTTGAAATTATTATACATGCGATATAAAAACAACAAAAAACATGCATCCTATTTATTTCTGCAGATACAATATAAAATATTTTTAAGAGTATAAATACATTTACATATATGAGTAAACATATGCATATAGTTTGTGCTGCAGTCGCGTTTACAACAAATAAAAAAAAACAGAAAAAACGTTAAGTTTAGTTAAACCATAGCTATTACCCTTCATAGGTGCATTTTTTATAGTATTAAAGGGTATAAAAAACTCTTGATTTTGATAGGTCAGTTTGTATGGCAGCTATATGCTATAGTGGTCCAATCTGGACAATTTATTCAGAGATTGTTGCGATGCCTTAAAAAATAATCCCACACCATATCCACACTAAAACTTGTGAAGATATCTTGTCAAATTAAAAAAGTTTTCTGCTGCAGCTGCAGTCACGTTTACAACAAACATGCAAACAAAAAAACCACTTTTTGTTGCACAATACTTGCACACACCTACAATATAGTATGTGTGAGTGCTGAAGATACGCTCAACTACTCGAGCGCCTTATTATTCGAATTTTCTTTGGCGACTTTTATGCTAATTACTAAATAAATAAATTAAGAAAATAGTTATGAGCACGTATATATTATGCTAATTAGTATAAATTGACGGGCATTATGAACACCAACTATTTTTAAACGTTCGTATATAGTGTGGCACGTGGAAAATGTTGCGAAATTTTCTACAATGTGACAGCATTTTTGCAATTGTTGTTGTTTAAAACCTCAATAGAATAGTTTTAAATTATTCTTAATTATTTAGCAACCAAAACTATGAGAATTTAACATACATATATATACTCTCAACAGGATATAGCTGCCATACAAACTCAAGTCCGTATAAAGAAAACTTTTTTTTTTGACAAGATATCTTCACGAAATTTAGTATACTTGTAGAATATAGTCAAAAGCAACGGCATAATCTCCGAAGAAATTATTTAGCTTGGACTACTATAGCATATAGCTGCCATACGAACTGACCGCTCAAAATAAAGATAAACAGCTTTTTATACCCGTTACGCTATCAAGTATGTACCTGTGAAGGGTATTATAGTTTCCGTGCAGCTGAAGTTAACGTTTTTTTTTTTTTTTTTTTTGTTTTAGAACAAATTATGCCCCCCAATATTTTCATGGCACGCAATTGTTTTCTCCGTATGTCCCTGATATGTTATCCTCGACCCCCATTTCTAACTCTTTCTCAAAATTAATCTAAGTAATATAATGTATGTACAGAGCCACCAATAGTTATCTTACAGTACACTGGCAGGCACTTTGGTATATTTTTAGTTTTATGTAATTTTTAAAAGGTTGCAATACCATTTCAAAATATATCTAAATTGAAAACATCTCACATCCAGTTTTT